GCTACTACTATATGTGTGCATAACTGACGTAGGTATCAACAATTTTCCATTTGATTGTGCCATGATGAAGGTTCACACTTATTCACATGCAAAGGGATACACACACACACATACACACAAGCACATCTATCTCTCTATCTTTATCCATTCATACACTGAATGTGGAATAGATGGATAATTATTATAATTAAAAGCCAGAATTAATTGAGTGCTTAGTAAGTTCTACTAAGCTGTCTATAAAGTTTGTTCCCTATAACGTTCACAATAATGCACACAAGCTGGGCATGGATATTAACCTCCACTCCATAGAAGAAACCAGTGTTAGATTAAAATGACTTAGCCAAGGTCACACACCAAGGAGTTAGTGGACTTTGATTTGGAACCCAGGCAGCCTGATTACTATAGCTAGTGCACCAGTTTGCTTCCCACGGTGCCAGACAATATAAGGTTTATGAGATGCATAAAATGGAACGTGTGCTCAAGAATGTTAAGATATGAGAAGGGAATTTTGATGCACACTAAAATTCACAGACCGAATGGGAAAGTGGTACGCGGTAGTCCCTGGAGTTAAGGAGAGCTGGATTAGAAGATGGGCTGTTGATGGTTTTGCTTAGCTCCTACTTTGCAACTATGGGGAAAATGGGATGCACCCAAATGTCAGAAGGGAGAACAATTAAAACCACCAGGAAAAGAAACCCTGTTTAAAGAACAGAGTACATTTATACAGTTGCCATATTCAATACATATATTATTGCATCACCTGCCAGCATCGTTTGGATTGGATATTTATGCCTTCTTAAATTTACCTATATTGTCAGTTCAACCAGCAAACCACAATTTTTGAGGAATTCATCTCAGTTCAAACTCTCTGATTCTTATTATGTATAAATATACACATAAACACATACATATCCCTAACAATTTGATTTCCAAAGAGATATACAAATTATAATCTCTTGGTAGGAACAAGCTATTATGAAATGAAAATAACATTTTTTTCACAGAAAATTTTAAACACTGAAAACAGAATATGCATTCTCTTTGTATTTTTATTATCTAAACACAATAGGAAGGTAAGCAGGATCATTTTTTAATCCACAATACATAAAATCTCAATTAGTTATGGTCTATTTGTGCACTGACTAAAAACATTTGTTAACAAAACAGAATTTTCTAGTTTACTGGATAAATATACCAGAAGAAATTGTAGAATAATGTTACGTTGCCAAGCAACCACAGCTCTACTCCCTCTTGTTTGTGATCAATCCAACTCATTCATCAAGCTTCCAATCCCAGTGCTAGAGAATTCCAACCAATTTGTTTCTTGGGAAAATTATAGTGACTTTCGGTAACACAATAACACTTTTATTCTCAGAAGATAAACTTAGATGTTCTTTCGATCAAAGGGATGTGTTAATTCATTATTCTCTACATGGTGCTAATGAGAAAACTATAATTAACTACACTATTGCGACACACATAAAATAAACTGTAGTAATTAGTAATGTTTAAGGTGTTAACCAGCCTCCAAAATTAGAAAATACAGAATCTTTCCTCTAGTAAAGATGTGGAGAAAGAAGAAAGCACCATATCTAATTAAATTGGGAATTGTTTCCATTCTCCCTCGCACCCCAAAGAGGGGGAGAGGCATGGTCGCCAAAATGTGAGAGATTTCACTTCAATAGCAGAGAAAATGGCTCAAAACCAATTCTACTTGTAGGTAGACATAAAATGCTGGTGAATAATGTAATCTTTTCTTTGAAAGAATGCTTAGCACAATATTTTTCCAGGAATGAATAGAAAGAATATTATGCTTTCACTCATTAGCTGTGTTAACTTAGCATATTGTATGTAAATCACCATAATAATTGCATTCTCTTCAGAGTGAATTAGTTACAATGAAGCTGTAATCAAAATGTTCAGAATTGAAAATATAGTATTCTCGGTCTCGGTTTGAAAAAATAACAAGCAACACTGATTGAATCAGATAATACAGCACATCACTGAAAACAGCCTTAGTATAGAGACAACTTCCTCCTCTAGCTTATACCTTTGCATGTCAATTAGCTCCCCAAATTCAGGACTCAATACCTCCAGATCTGTCACGGTTTTCTATGTCACCCTTTGTCTTTGGCCTAACTGAAGCTTTCCATGTGCACTACTGCTTAGATTTTCAGGGGAAAATACAAAAGAGTGAAAAGCTAAATTTTTGTTTCTAAAATGTATTAGACGCCATGGCACTGTTGGCTGTCATAAATCAAAGGGCAAAATAATTTCCAACAAATGAAACATTTAATGCCAATGCTCCTGGGAAACAATATGTAAATGATCACATGAATTTCAGGCAAGCTGTCACACTAATTCCTCAAGGTACCTTTTAAAGATGACATATTCACTGTGAAGAAGGGGGTGTTGTCATGCAAAAGTCCAATACTCTACTATCTGAATTGATATTCACAGGGCTTCCTGACACTCATTCCTTCAAATCTGATGCCATCCAGCCCCCTCTATTACTTAATTTTCCTTTATGAAATTAAAAACAGCAACAACAAAACCTAGCAGAATCATAAATCAGTCTTGATCATTACTCTTATTTAATTCTCCATTAAAAAAAATGAACCAGGCTAATTATTTCAACAAGGCAATTTTGGGTCAAACAACCTATCTTCAGAATTTTCAAAAGTAAACTATATTTAATCCAGCAAATATTTTCCAAAGTCAGGTCTATCTTGTAAAAGTCTTAAGGAACTTTGTGATGGGAACATATGTCCAGTTTTACTTGCTTCGGATCCACCCAGACACAACTATATTTTAATAAGCAAATGATATTTTTAAACTGTATTTAAAACCAATCCAGTAAATGGGATTAATTAATTTAAAGGTAATAAATACATTATGGGCAATATCAAATCCTGTCATTCTTACAATTAGGTCCATGGGATGTGTTTTTGCTCATCACCAGGTAAGTTGGAGCACATAATAAAACCATGAGGTAGCAATAAACATCTGCAGTCTTTTCTTTAAAGGACCCGTAAGTATAGATGCAACAGAGAACAATCTAAAAAACATGTAATAATCATCACAGTCCTACTCTTCTGCAGTGATGTGGATAAAAACATACCCAGAAAGAGATTTTTAATGAACTGCCATAGCCAATACTCACACTTGCCAAGAAATAACTATTTGTCTCCATTTATTTACTGACAATATTCAGGAGCTTGGGAGGAATGATTATACACTTTACTAGAGGTAAATCCATCGCAACACTTAAGGCCATAAAATGGAATGCTGGGTTATACACTACGCCCTAGAACCAAGTTAAATTATGGAAAGCCATAGGGTGGTTCATCACAAGAGACTGAAATTAAGACAAACCCAACTGCAACATCCGCCTGTGAAAGAGGAAATACAGTCTTACACACAAAGCTGTAGAATAAACTCCTTTTCCCCCCCTTATCACTAAGTTTCCCCAAATAGCTTTCTAAGCTTCTCTCTCCGTCAATGTACTGACAAGCCAACGTGACCAGCAGTTGGTCAGTTTATATCTTCCAATCTGCTGCAATCCAGAACTGTGTAGTTGTTGTATGGGGCAGTAATATTTAATATCCACTGATAATCTCCAAAATTAGAAAACACAGTATTTTGCCTTATATAAAGATGCGGAGAAATGAGAATGCCCCATATCTAATTAAATTGAGGATTAATTAGTAATAACAGTAACGCCATCAGCAACCATAACTAACTTAGGGTGTTTATTAAGCATTAAACACGAAGCTAAACTGTCTTCTTGGATTATCTCATTCCAGTCCTGCAAAAACCTATCAATACCTTTAAGCAAGGTATTGATACTATCTCTATTATTTAAAAGGGGAAACCAAGGCACGGAGTAAATGGCTCGTCCAAAATCACACATCACAGAGATGCCGGAGCTGGAATTGGAACCCGTCTGGGCGCCTCAAGAGACTGCCTGGCGCGAGCCCAGGTGGCTCACCAGTTGCCCACCTCCGCGCGCACGCGCACATGCCCCCCTTCGCCCCCACGGGCGTTCCAGAGAGCGCGCCGTCGCGCACGCGCGTGCCCAGGTGGCCACTTGCGGGGCCTGGCGGCTCCTCCGAGCTTCTCAAGGGCGGGGCCGAACCCCAGCGACCCTCGCATAGGGCTAAGCCGCGGGGCTCCCTCCCCGCCGCGCCGCCCTGCTGTGCCACTAGACACCTGCCCTTCGCCGCTCGCCTTCTACCCCCTCCCCAGCCCGCCTTCCCGGCTGACAGCCGGACCACCCACCCCGCGCTCGCCCCAAGGCGCGGCTCCGGGCGTGGGTACCTGGGCCCGCGCGACAGCGGCTTCTTCGGCCCTTGGGTTTTCGCAGGAATTCCTCAGCCCTGCCCCTGACTGAGAAAGTGCCGCTCACACAGCGTGCAAGAGGAGTGAGAATCAAGGGGCCGGCGTTCCCCAGCCTCCCAGCCTCCAGGCTCCAATCCCTGCTCTCCAAATTAATCACTTTCTCCCTCCCCACGCACACTCTTACTCAAAAAAAGAGAGAGGCACAAAGAAGAAGGGACCATCCGTGACCGGCATCTCTAGCTCCACCAGCTCGGCTACCAAGGAGCCATGGCAACCACGCCCCCGGCCTGGCCTCTAGCCCCCACGGTGGAACTCCTTAACCTTCCCGTTTTCACGCCGCCCCCCAACCCTGCTGTCCACAGATCTCCCTTTTCAAGCTGGCGGCGTACACCGAACCCCAACCAGTACCTGGAATCCTCTCCTGAGAATGGGAGCAAGACAGGGGCGGGGTGGGGTGCAGGAGAGAACACTGTCCCACGACCCAAGAGATGGTCAGGGGCAGGGAGGAGTGCGACCAGGACTGACCCCAAACCCAGGTAGACCTTCGACTCCCTACCGGAGAGAGGGCTGCAATCTCCAGGAGGGTCTGGAATGCTCGCCAGAGGGACGGGGCAGTGGGGGATGGGGGAGGCTGGAGGAAAAACAGAGGGTTAACCTACCCGTAACCACGCGGAGGAAGTGGGAACTGGAGGATTCGTGTAGCGGCTTCACTCTGTCCGACTGACACGCAGCTGTGTTTGAATCCAGCCTCAGCCACCAGGGGGCGGGGCTGGGAAAGGGGGTGTCTCTTCCCGGGTTAGGGCTTTAGGCAAGGATGGAGCCCTGATTGCGCACCATTTCCTATCCACACTGAGTTGACCCCTCCCAGCAGCAAACCCTTAATCCGCCTTCCATCACGCCCGAAGAGTTGGCTACCGGGCGAACTGGGAGAAGCCGTAGGGCTAGCAAAACAGATGCAAATTAACCCCCACCTAGACACACCTGAGCCGTCTTTGGCTTTAGATCTGTTCCGTACCTTCTCTCAGGGAAACTTCTCCCCCTAGCTGGCTTGCTGCGGGAGAGGGACGTGCCTTGTCCAGCAGCTCCGAGCGGATCCAGGGGAGTTTCTTGCCGGCCGCTTGCAGCTGATCCACACGCGGGTCGCCGGCTGAGATGCCGGGCCCCTCCCGTCGCTAGCCGTGGCCGCGAGAACGCTGGACCTGTTCTGGCTTGCGCTCGGATCCACGCCCTCCGGGCAGAGGCTGGCTAGCGCCTCTCCTCTCTTCCTCGGTTCCGCTCCGCCACCCCTCACCCACGCCGCTTATTTTCCCTCCCTTTGCACACTCCCTTAGGACAGGGAGAGCTACAGCCTTAAGACTTTTATTTCATGGTGAAAAGCAAGGGACGAAGCCAAAACTTCGCTCGTCATTTTCAACATCTATGGTCAAAAGAGGTAGGCTCGCTGTCCCTTTTATCTGCAAAAACGAATTAAAAAAAAAAAAAAACCTCCCCCTCCCGATGGTTTCACTCAGTACATATTCCAGACACGGGTCGCCGGTCTGGTTTTCCTTCATTGCTGCATGTTGGAAGGGTGTGGTGCCATGTACCTATTAAAAATATTCTTTTTGCTTTCCTTCCTTATTTATGGGTGTGATGAGGTTTCCTATTTACAAAAGATGCTACTACGATAAACTAACAAATTATTACATACATAGATTTGGGCACCTTTCACTGTTAACCATTTTTAAAATTTTTGTCTTAACACAGTCTGTAATTTTACCACATTGTTCCGTAAAGTTTTTCCTATTTATTCTGTATTAATTCACTATTATAGGGTAGAAGAAAGCCCTGTGTGCTTATTTCCACTGCAAAAGGCCATTTCTGATGCCTTATCAATTACACCAAAACATGTAAATTTTATTTTAGGATTCCAAAATTAATCTGGGAAAGTTACAGGCTTTTGCAGTTATTTATACACCCCTTTCATTTTTTTTCACTCCATGATCATATTTTCCAAAATTTTCACACAATACCACTTAAAAAAATTCTGTTGAATTTAAGTTCTCTTTGATGGTAGGAGAATCGTTGACTTCTAATTTTTACTCCACTAAGGCAGTAAGATTAACTTTACAGTCTGGTTTTGTTCTCATCTTGTACATTGAACAATGGGGACATTTAGAGCTGTGAGCTCCCCTCAGAGCTGGTTACTACTATAGTAGCAGCTAGAGGGAAGGCAATTCAGAATTCTGCTTCAGAAGCAACTGAATAAAATATTTTGAAAATGAATTAATGGACTTTTAAACTTTAATAATTGCTAACCTTGGAGCCCCGATTCTGTCAGTTCATGTGTGGGCCCAGTTCTTACTGACTGCACTGCAAATTGCAAATGCAAGTGAGGGCAGGATTTGTCCTGAGTTTAAATTGTACTGCTAGAGTAATTTCTTTGCCTGAGGCATCATTATTCACATGGCATGTTTTCTAAAGTAGAAACAAAGAGAGAATATTGAATGAAATTCCAAGAGGGAAAACATAGGAAAACATTTCCAAGGTCAAGGAGACACCAAGCTGAGTTGAACTCAGAAGTCGACCACCTTCTGGATAAACATTCTCTGACCAAAAGACTCAAAACTCAATCCTGGCCAGACCAACAGATAGTCTTCAACATACAGCTCTTCTTTTCTCTATGATTTGTTTGTTTGACATTAGGATCATTATGAAGAGATATATAGAAAGAGAGAGGGAGAGAGATCCTAGCATTTATCATTGTTCAAGGTGCTAGGATACAGTGGAAAACATAACAGACAAGGCTAGCTGCTTCTTTTTAAGTCAAATATCCAAAAATATATTAAAGAATACCAAGGCATAATACCTGAAACAAAAAGATGAAAGGTCAGTTCTTAAATATGAGTTCTCTTGAAAGGAAAATAGCATACTTCTGAGTCTCTGACACTGCATATAAATGAGGAACTAATAGCCCAGTATTAAGCCCAAAGCTTAGTAGGGACAGCCATTAAGTCTGTATATATACAATATACCCTACCCCAGGCAAATAAATTTGAAGGGAGGGAGAAAGGGAAAAGTACATAAGGGAAAAGGGAATAAAGGGAAGAGGGAAGACAACGATTCACCAAAAAAGGAAAAAAGAATTTAAAAGAAAAAATTTTAGCCAGCTTAAATAATAAGACTTTTTAAAGAAATGCAAAATAGAAGCAGATGACTTAAATTTCCACATCCAAAAAAATACCTCATAGATGTTATCTCCAGGGATAGGTTCTTTTTTTTGGGGGGGTATACATTTCCAAAGGCAGGCCACAAATATAGGTTTTTCTGACCCAAAGAACTTAAAACAGCTCACTGCCTCAGATTCCGGAAAGGCTGGAACCCGAGACCAGAAGGCAGCCTTCAACCAGAGTGGATATTTGGTGAAGCTACCTTCTGCTGCTGCTTTGAAACCCTCTCTTGGCTCCCATCCTCTGTCTGACACTTTGTTCAGACCAGTTGCCACTCAACAAACAATCCTCATCTATCAGGCATCACACAATTGCACGTGAGTGCTAAAGAAAGACTAGATTTCTTATGAGTCACATGGAAATTGGCTTGCATTAGCTTTGAAAGGTGTGAATTTATCTCTCACAATTGAGGAAGGCCATGTAAAATAAAAATACGACTATCAAACCATGAATGAAGGGGAGAAAGAAGGTCTTTCATGAATAGAAGCAGAAGGTGAGAGAGATAGGCTAGTCATCTGGAAAAAAGAGAAAAAGTATTAAAAGCTGGGGTATTTTTCAGCTTTTACTGCTGCTTTACTACCTATCCCCAGCTTGAACCATCATTTGGTATCATTCCCAGAGCCAGGACCATTGGAGGAGTATTGCTTTTTGGCAAAGCCAAGTAGCTAGTGATATGGCAATGTTCCTAGAAAAATTGTTTAGCGGAAGAGCTGTAGTTTCTGAAATGGCATTTCAGTCTAGCAGTTCTGAATAGTCACAGATCCACAGGGATTTTTCTGGCCAACTACTGTCCTAAAGGAAGGCAGGATGTTCCACTGAGGGGTAGCTCCTCAAAGGCAACCTTGGAAGTTCAAAGCAGCTACTTTCAGCTTAGATATTAAGAAAGCTAAAGAAGATCATATTAATTCTGCAGAGTTAAACTGACAGTGTCGATACTCCTTTAATTTGTCCTTTAATACAAGAACAAAAAGACATGTATTAGAAATCAAAGGGCAATCATTCTGGAACAAATAAAAAGGTAATATCTTGTCATGCCATGGATCGTTAATACGTGAGATTCAGCCAAGAGGTCATGGAACCAGATATTTTCACTGGATTTTTTAAGGGCTAGGTAATTTCACAGCCATTAATAACATTATACTTATGTAGTTATGATCATGCTAAGTGTTATCAAATCTCATGCTTTAAGACATTTGTTGATTACTTGTAAAGATAAGAAAGATTTCTTGTCCTTCAGTCAGAAATGCTCAAATGCCCATTATGACCACCTTACTCTCCTACTAGTGTTTGCTCCAAAGTCCTGTGCAGTAAAGTCTTATCTCGAAGGCCTGAGAACAGGTTTATAGTATGAATTCATTTGTTGGGAAAAGTTTTCCTAGTTTTGGAGGATGGGAATTTCATTTAAGTCTCTCTATATCCAACATGATATAAAATCTTTTCAATCTGGAAAAGTACCTCAGATAGCATATTCTCTTATAGCTTCCTTTTATACTTGAGGAGGGCAAAGTTCAGAAGTTTTCTCAAGATTGTACAACAGGTTGGTGGTCTAGAATTCAATATATATACTGAATTCTCCCTCTCTATATATAAATATATATATTAAATATATGTATACTTAATCTTGTTAATAATTAATATATAGATATTCTTATTCTTGTATGATTTGGGAATATGACAGGCTACTGTCATCTTGAAACATAAATGTATTTATTCCAGTTTTGCTACAGCAAACAAGATAAATGCTGAATAGTGAGATGGTGACTGATACCAGGAGAATAAGGGCTGATCTTTACAGAAACAAATAGCCAAAATGAAGGTCTTAGTTGATCCTTTCCTTCTGTCTATTTTGTCCAGTTGATTTTGGAAATTGTTTTCCCACTCTCAGAATAAAGGAAACTTGTTAGAGAAAAGGGAGAGACCCAGTAGGTCTCCTTAATATAAGAGCTTGTGGCAGGCTGCTGGTTGCTTCTCTTCTTGCCCTGACCCCTCACCCCGCAATCTGTCTCCCTCCCCCCTTTCTGACCACACAGCCACCTACCTAAACACTACATTTCACATTCACTCTTGTGACCAAATGTGCCCCCATGGCTAGTTTCTCACCAAAGGGACATGAGGAGAAATGCTATTGGCAACTACCAGGTCATCTTCTTAAAGATAATCTAGATTCACTCTTCTTTTTCCTTCTAGCTAGCCTACAATAGTGAAATAGTCATGTAAGGATGATAAAAGAACCCCCATTATCCTGAGTCCCTCATGACTCTAGGAATTAGAGCCCACATACTACCATGAAGAACTGAAGTTCCCTATTTGAGCCAGTGTCTTTTGAGGTTTCTTTATTATAACTATTTAATCTTTTCCCTAATTAATACAGTTATAATCTCTGTCATCAGAACAATTTCAGAACAGTCAAGAAAAATAAAAATGGATGATATAGTAGGTATCCATTGTTTTTGGCTTGCCCAGCCTTGATAGACATCCCTACAGCAACAAATCCTAGGAAATAACACCTCCTACGTTTATGTGGCTGAGTTGAGGCTGATGCCAAT